TTCATTTTAATAATTACAGTACTTATCTATTTACAATAATTAGCATTTATTAACCCTTTAACTTTCATGTAAGTTTTCAGGTTAGTTAAATTAATAAAAATTTATATTTTTTACCTGAAACTTTTTGGGTATTACACAATCTACTTATGCAAGGGTGGAAGAATTAAGAGAGGTATAAATAGAAGTGGAGCTATAAGGGGAATCGAGTAAGATCTTTTTCACCCAGTGTGGGTTGACCTTTGGAGGCGTAAGTAAAAGTAGAGTTATAAGCAGGCAATAGGACAAGTGCATATCATAAATCATGTGTTGCATATTTTAGTAAATGAAATAAGTTCAAGTATAAATAATATTCTGTTAATAAGTATACTCTGATGCTTTTGTGAAAGTATGAGTGATATTCTATCAGTAAGTATATTCTAACACCTATGTAAAAGTAGATGTGAAAGTGAAAGTTAATATTTATAATATTTTAATTCAATTAATAAATTTTGAAAGGTTGTTTTTTATGCATATTCAACTTTAAGATGTATTTATGTTTTTCTTCTTATAATATAAACTAATAAATAAAGTAATCCCTATATTCATGTTTCTTGATGTAAAGTTTTTTTTTTATTTATAAATATCATTTTGATCTTTTATTTGTGTACTCCAAATAAGAGCATTCAATTCTATAAGAGGACTTGTGTAAGCCTACTAATCATATGAATGCTCATTCCATATATTTTATGAATTTTTATAAAAGGGAAAGGTCAAATTGAATAGATAATAAGTAAAAAATATGTCATCCAAATTATGCTTATTTTCATATAAATGATATTAAAATCTTTTTTTTTTTACATGAAAGATGTTACATGAAAGATGTAAAAACTCCCCATAATTGAAGGAGCATTATAGCACAACAGACATAGCATCACTATGATAAGCACATCCTTAATGTTGGAGCATAGAAAGGCAGAATAATAGTGGTAAAAAGTCAGAAAGTAAAGTGCCAAAGTACTAGGGATGGATGGCTACAATGCTAGGATAAGTGCCACAGTGGGTAATAGTTACTGATAGTTGAACCAGCAAATTGATGCGATGACTGATAAGCTAACACATCAATTCGATAGCACCATGACACTACATAGGTCAGTATCACGGTGCTAGTTCAATTATTTATTAAATATATAAATATGAAGGTTATTTCCATGTAGATGTAGTGGGATTTAACAAAGCTGCTAATATTTGGCCAGATGATTGTGAGAGGCGGGGGGGGGGGGGTAGAGTAAGAGTGAGATAGAGGGAGAGTAAGCCCATGAAATCAATTTCAAGGGAAGGAGAGGAATAGTAGAGTAAGAGTGAGATAGAGGGAGAGTAAGCCCATGAAATCAATTTCAAGGGAAGGAGAGTTTATAATCTATTTGTAAAAGAACTTAATGGAAACTATTTTTCCTTAATTGACTTATATTGTTGTTTTATTTAAAATAAATGGTATTTTAGCTATTTTAATTTGTATAGCTTGCCAAAATCATATTTCTGGGCTTATGTTATGTTAAAACTAAATTTGCTTAAGATTAGATTTGAATTGTAAAGATTTTAAATGTTGTTTTAATTCCTTCATGCTTAATTTAGTTTACATGGAGGCCTTTCTTAAACTTAAAATTTAGTGTGATTTTTAGCCTCAACGAAAGAATAATGGAACAAATAGGGGAGTTAAAATGAGATTTTATCATGCGTAGACATATTGGATAGAATCTTAAAATCTTAAGGTGATATAATCATTGTATTTGAGAGAAATCTCAACTAGACACTCCAACAAGCTTGTCAGAGATGAGGAGTATTTTATTCCTTGATTCACAACAATATTATGAGAAATCTATTTTCAGCTTGCATGAGTTTTTAACTATCATAGTTTCAAACATAGAGAGAGAGAGAGAGAGAGAGAGAGAGAGAAAATAGTTTAAATTTCAAAACATATTTTATAGTTTTCTTTAGCACAATCTTAATATTTAACCAATAAAATAAATTTACTAATTCATGCAAGCAATACTAGAGTGAACTTAGGGTAATTTCAATCCTCATGGGAATGTTATTATACTCATTACTCTATTACTTTACATGACATGTACACTTGTATAAAAGTATTTTTACACATATAATTGTCTTTTTGAAGTGTAGTAGTGGCTGTTGATCAAATTTTTTGCACTGCTGTTGGGGATCTGGAATAACTATCTTTATATTCACTTTATATTGTTCAAAGAATTAATGGTTTAATTTTATCATTATCCTAGTTTATCATGCTCTTTATTAATATTATTATTTATTTTTATTACATTCTATATATTGTTGCATTGTGAAATTGTTCAATTGTGTATTGATTAATATTTTCATTTAGTAGTTGTTGTTGTTACTGTACGTATAGTAGAGCATTGGGGATCGATTGGCTCTTTATATGTTTCGACTACATTAATGTTTTTTTTTTTCATTTCTCACACTTAGCTGAGCTTGATCAAGGAGAATTGGGACCCCAATTAGCCTATTGGGCTGCCTGTTATTAGTTTTTTGTGTCCCCCTTCTTGTTGGATTAAGATAAATTCAGATGCCTTAATTCTCAATATTAATAGTGTTGGTTTGGCTGTGGTGATTATAGATGATAAAGGAAAGTTATTTGCTACTAAAGGGACTGAAGTAGTTTAGTGGGATGTCAATACTGCAGAATTTATTCTGGTTTAGAGCTTTAAAGAAGCTATAAAAGAATGGATGTATGATGTTGAAGACTTAATTGTGGAAAGTGATAATCAAACTGTTGTTTATTGGCTCCAAAGGTCCATGGGGGGTCAAAGCAATAATGGGAGGAAGTTATCTCAAGTTGATCTCAGCTTCCTTATATAGTTCAAGAAATTTTTATTTCACCATATTCCAAGAGAAAGATAATAAGGTGTTGAACTTTGTGCTTCAGTTGATATATATATATATATTGGAAAGATGTAAATGATAGGACTACTCTTCTTTTTTATAAGTTTTGAGGGATGATAGTGATAGGTCTTAATAATTCTTGTCCTTTGTAATATTCTATTTCTTTTCATCAATATAATTATAAATATCATAGTAGAGCACAATTAGGAGAAGTATTGTTTGATCTTGAGATAGAAAAAAAATTAAAAAGTTAAAAAGAAATAAAAAATACTTAGAAATGGTTAACCCAATCCAAGGAAAGAACCAACCTAGACCACTTAGAGAATATGCAAATCCCATGATAGAAGGCATTCAACAAAGCATTAATAAGCCCAATATCCAAGCTAAAAATTTTGAGCTAAATCATGTTGTCATTCAAATGGTACAAAATTCAAGCTTCTTAGAAATTTATGCCACATTGAAGTATAATGAGGTCTCCAATGACACTTTTAGACTTAGATTGTTCATGTTGTTCTTAAGGGATTAAACTAAGATGTGGTTGAACTCCTTACCCCCATGCCCAATTATCACATTGAATGATTTAGCTCATAAGTTTCTAGCCAAGTATTTTCCTTCTTTCAAAACAGTAAAACTTAAGAATGATATTACCTCATTCACTCAATTAGATAGAGAATTAATTAATGAAGCTTGGGAGAAATTTAAAGATCTACTTAGGAAGTGTCCATACTAACTTTCTTGATTTTCTGATCATCCAAACTTTTATAATGGACTTATAAAATCTCTTAGATTAATTATAGATGATGCTATTACAGGTACTTTGATGTCCAAAGTTTTCTATGAAGCATGTGCCTTGATTGAAGAAATGACCATCAATAATTTTCAATAGCCTTTTAAGAGAGTGAACATATAAAAGTGGCTAGTGTATATGAATCAGATGTCTCATCTATTTTGACTGCACAAGTAAATGTTATCTTTAGGAAATTAGATAATATTAGATTTCTTACATCTCAAGGGACACCCATGTTAGTAGTGGAGAATATCTATGGAGCATCTAGTGACCCAAATGCTTCAGGGGTTGAATCCTTAAATGCCATTAATAATAAATAAATTAACCCTTATTCTAACACTTGCAATCTAGGTTGGAAGAATCATCCCACTTTTTAATTGAATAATAATCCTAATGTGGGTAGTAATTAAAACTCTAGCCAACCCAACAAAGTAGGAACCTGGAACCTACCTCAACAACAAAATTTAAAACCCAAGGCCTAATTATGCCCTTGGATGTATTGCTAACAATTAGTTTAAGGATAAAAATCATTCTCTAGAAGACCTAGTTTTGTAAATGGGGACCTAATAACAGAGTCAAGCTGCTACTATAAGAAATATTAAAAATTAATTAGGGTAGTTAGCTAGTTCCATAAATAATAGACCCCATGATGTCTTGCCTAGAAATATAGAGTTAAACCTTAAGAACAAAGGTAAGGAGTAGTGCAAAGCTATTCAATTGAGGATTGAGAGAGAGTTAGAAGAGGTTAGGAATAAAGATCAACTTGAGGGGGAGACATCTATAGAAGCAGCTGTAGAACTCACCAATCCTTAAGAAAAACTTTAACCTCATAAGGAAGTAGAAAAATGCATTAGAAAGATTGTTGAGAGAGCACCACCATCATTTTCCTGGACGGTCCAAGAGACAGGAATTACTTGAGATCATGTTAGCTATGAATAGTTGGCAGGAGTAGCTCTTCCATTTAGTGGCTGATAGAGACAGAAAGGTTATATAGCATTACTAGTTACTGCACAAATCATTTGATAAATTTCTAATTTTTTGAAGCTAATGCAACTTTCATCGGCCTTATATTTTGTAAGGTGTTTGTGGCGAATAATTGCTATCAAAAAGATAAATAATGTTGAATGCTTATTTCATCAATTTTAAGACTTTCTGCGAGTCTGAGAACAATGAGCATCGAATCGTCATTTTTTCTTTCTTTCTTTCTTTCTTTTAACCATATCTCGCATTGCAACTCACATTTTCCATGCATTGTCTTCACATGAAATAAATTATGTCCTATCTAAATTCAAGATAAACCAATCATAGACTTGCAGTATAGAAAGCAAATAAAAACCAATCGCCTTCCTTGAGCTATGTTTATCATTTGGTTCCAAATATCTTGCTACATGAACCAGTAAAATTTTATTATAAACAAAGCTCCACTTTTATTCAAAATTTATAAACCTTACTGTGGAAGAAGGATTTCTTCAATTATGTTATATCATACAAGCCAACTCTATGGTAAAATTGCTGCCAAATGCTGGTGAAATTTTGAGGGGATTCTCATATAACTTGAGGCCCTCAGCATGTCCAGGAAGTAGATCTCTTGATGAGTGGCTTCATTGCCTTATCTTCCTCAAGGGAAATCATTCCCAAATGTGAGGGATCTTCCAGCATCATCTTGGCCACAAGATAGCCTGCAATAGACCATGTTTGGAACTTTCTAGCCTGCTTTCCTATAAACCTGCCAAGCTTTCCATCATAATATTCAGGCCAGGAATCTTTCAGAAGCCGGATCTCAGCGAGTTCTATTGCTCGTCGAGCTATCTGCGGCCGACCAGTCTTGATGCAAGCTGCGGTGAGCAGCCATAGAAGCACTGCAGAAAACAATGGAGAAATGATCACAAAAATAAATGCAATAGTTGTAATACGCATCTCTTTAAACTCACCAGCCTCAGTGGCAAAGTCATTATTCATATTGGATATCTGAATGAAAAAGGGTCTTAGTTGATCAATATAAGATTCAAATGTAATATTGATGGATGAGACAGTAAAAACCTTCTAGGGCACTAATTCAGGCATGTTTTTTTGAGACATATAGTTTGAAAATATAGCTCCGCGAATTTACTAATTTAGGAGTGCTTTCGGTTATGGATTTTTGTTTTGATAAGTTTAAAAAGATTCCAAGGTTTTAGCTGTCGCTTCATTCTTTAGCATCAATTATATTTTCAATGAGTTATGAATAATTTTTTTAGCAAAACAAACATGAAAATACAATAAGTTATTGAACAATGAATATAATTTTGATAATAATAATAATAAAAAAAGAATGTGCTTAAAAATAATCTTTAAATTTTCTAGAACTATAACGCCTATTTTCCACACTCAATCCTAATCACCCGCGTATCCTAACATAAATAAACCAAGCCAATCGTTAGAAACATTTTACCCCGACTAAGATGTATCAAACACTAGCCCAGATACTATTTCCAACTGAAGACAACCGTCCTACCAAAGACTTCCATACAACTCACTATCATCTCACCATCCATCTTACCTGCAAGCCGAACCATGTCCACCAGCCCAGCACCTTTATGCATGCATGCATGTTCTCAACAGCCTGACACCTCCTTGCCATTGCCATCACCTACTGCCCAACACCATCTTGCCCAGCACTCACCTATCGGATCCCGCCTACCAGCTCACGTTCAATGACCGTTCCCATATACCCATGATTTATTGCTAGCTAATTTGCATCACCCGCACAGATCAATGCCTGTTTGACACCTAAGCCCTGCCATCCCGCAGGCTTACCCAATGAGCCACTATCACTCAATAGCCTACAAAGCCATCCACCGCTAGACAAGTCTCATTAAACATTAGGGTTTAACATGTGTCCCTTGATGCCTGTAGTATGGCCCAATGCATGTCCCCGCTTGATAACCCATCAAACGTCACGAAAATGACAAGTGTCCTCCCTATCTGCCTAGCCCAACATGTTTGTGCATGTTTACTTCTTGTTATCAACGCTATTAGGCAGGTCATGTTCTCCTTACATATATAGTGGTCTTTTTAGAGTTTCCCATAAGTTGAAATTTTTGGTTAAGACAACAAACTCTGTGTAAGCTCTTATTTCCCCTTCTCATATACTCCCCTCCCTAACTAGGAGAAGACCCGAGATGGTTTTTTGTTTTTTTTTTTTTTTTTTTTTTTTAAATGTAGTATATTTCCCCTTCACACAGTGGATGTAGGATGCAAAGCCAAATTACATAACCTTTTAGTTCTTTGTAACGATGTGATTATCTCCATCCACCTCTCATTTTCGCCCTCTAGCACCACTAGTGGTTGGTGGGTCCTATGGTCTCTCTTTCTCTCACTCTTAGGTTTTGTTTGGGACAACTTTCTCTTTACTTTCTAAAACATCTTTCTAGTACAAATTTCTAATTTAAGAATTTTTTTAACTAAAAAACTATTTTAGAAATCATTAAGAAAGCAATCCCAAAGGAAGCCTTAGTCTCTAAATCACCTCTTAAGAAAAGAATTTTGAACTATGTAAGAAAATGTTAGTAAATCATTAAATAACACCATACAACATTTATTATCTTCAAATTAATATTGAGCTACACATGAGTTACATGAGTTCATGAGGTTGACAAAATGAACTATCAAGGTGGCATCCCGCAAGATGGCTGACAGTGACTCAAAACCAAAAAAAAAAAAGCCAAAAACATTGTATGAGGTCATAATGGCCTCAAATATCACCACATGATCAACATCACTGGTGTTGCACCAGAAACTTTACAGGGAAAGAATCCTGAATTTGACATTATCCATGATTTTTAAAGAAAATGCGGTGCCCCACCCCACCCCTCCCTTAATAGAGGAGCCATGTTGCAAGAGGTACAAGCCAATTCAATTGGCATGACATGAACTATGCCAGATGAGGTTGCCGCCTCTTCCTGTTTACCCCACACTTTTTAGCCTCCAGGTTGAGTGTCTTGGGCGGATAATGGTCAACATCACAAGGATGAAGCAGATATAAACTAACAGTAATTTTTCAGATGCCCCCTATCATCCAACAAAATATGGGTCTTCCGCTTCCTTGTTGCATGATATGCTCATACAGACACGAATTTGTCATCTACTATTAATTAGTATATGCTTTAAAAATGAGTATTTAAAACATCATGTTATTGGTATCATGTCAGTTTTTCTACTTGTTCCTTTTGCCAAATTCAATAAATGAACTAAATTAAAATCAAAAGTAATCAAGTTGCAAACTGAAAGGAGAACCTAACCATTTGAACAAGGTTGGGTTTGCCCTTTAACAGAGTAAATGTGCATCGCTAGCGTCAATATTTCTGTTTTACAACCTTCTTGCTTTTATGTGAAATACCTCTGTTTGTCTCTTGGTATCTGTATGCAATAATAATTTTTAATTTTTATGATGGAACAGATTTGGACAAACAAATCCAGGTCCTACGAGGATTCAGATAAGGAACGTACAGATTAAAAAAGATAATAACAGTAGAGTGCTGGCTAAGGAGAACAGTAAGAGGTTAGATATGGCCAATATTATCATTTAGTAAAACAATGGCAATTTAGGAATCGTAAAAAAAAAGGATTTAGATCAGACGAAGAATTTTATTACAAGGTGCATGCTCTATAAGACTAGCCTAGAGCTTGCGCTTGATGACAATATGCCAAAAATTTCAATCAGCGCTTTATTTATTTATTTATTTATTGAGTTCTTTAAAACTGCTCCACCATTTATCAAACTAAGGCTAGAAAATTGCAACTTATATCAAATTAAAATGATAAAAAAACCTCTAACCTGGCCAGGATCCCCCGTTGTGGTAACTCCATCTTGTATTCTTGGGATCGTAGCCAGTGACAGTCATCCATGCATGGCCCTCAAGGGCAGGGTAAGTAATCTTCATAGGCATTTCTCCAACCAGCTCTTCCCAACGCGCTTCAATGAGATCCATTATAGCCATGGACTGCTCAGGAGTAGCAAGTGATGATAAAATAGCAACACAATTACCAAGGGCAAACCATCTGAAGTCCATCCTTGCTGGACTGACATTTCCAACAAAGTAACCACCGCGATTAGGCATAAAGTCAAAAACCCATTCTGGGATTGAGTTCGGAATAACATTAAATTTGTTGACTGCTGTGTGAGAATACTCCTCTGTTTTATAACGATAAATGTCATTTAGCTGCTGGAAATCGATCCAAAAGTAACTTCTCATGTGATAACTCAAAGCATGCAAACGCTTCACAATTCGCTCAACACATTCCTTCCCTTCAGCATCATATTTGAGCATTATTAAAGCGCATCGCAATGCCATGAAGAAAAGGGCTTGAATCTCAATTGGATACCCATAGACGCCCTAGAATTTGAATTTTAATATAAATCATTAGATGGAGCAAAATTGAAACACAAGACCCCAGTAGCATCTCATCGATAAATTATCATTTCGCTAAACAAAAGACAAGAACATGTTAAAAAGTAGAACTACCACAGTTGGAGGAAGAACGGCTATCAATATGTATTCAAATAATTATTTGATTGTTGTGCTTCAAAAATTTAATTTCAATCTAACGTATGACATTGAAAATCTAAGAATATATTGAGGAACTTTCAATCCTTTTGTACTTTAAAGTAGCCTTTTGTAGGTGGGATTTCTATTACTGTGAGTGATATTATTGCCCGTATGCTTCCATTTTCCATTACTAGCGCAAACAATTGCAACATGGAACATATAACTAAAGATGAAATCAGAAGTGCTTTTGGAGTACATATACGCTTTAGTACGTTTAAAAATCAACTTGTTAAATTTTTTTTTGGTCACATATGGCAAACTAATGAATACACACCTGCTCTTCTAGGAGAGTACCATAGTTTGACTCTCAGTGAAGAGTTCTTATGGCTCGAGGATGTTGACGCAGCACAAAGCACTCATAAAAAATGCAACCCAAGACTAACAATATTCTAGTCCAAGTTGATTTGAGATTGAGCTAGTTAATCTGTATTTTCATTATTAAGAATATCTTTTATTAATTAATTATATTATATTGAAATAATTCTTTTATAAGGATTATCTTTTTAAAATTAGATGATAAAATTTATCTATTTTTAAGGACTTATCTTAATTTACAATTTCAATTAATTTAAATGCCACTCTATTATTTTTAATGGGACTAAGATGAATTAAATTGAAGATGATTCCTCCTATTCCTCTCTCCTCTCTTTGCTTGCCTTTACAATTCCCTCTTCCTCTCTCTAGAATAAAAATATTCCTTATTCCCGAGACACCCATGATTATTTGTCTCTTTCTCTCACACTCTATCTAATAATTTCATGCTTTAAAGACTCATTTGCTATATCCTTGCATCAACTCCTCGTAGCCTCAAATCCTTCCTTAGGAATCTCCCTTCAACAAAGACTTCTCCCCCTTTTCCCTCAAGAATCTATTTGATATGTGATGATGCAACGATATTCTTCTTGTATAAGAGATTTTAAGAGAATAGATAAGAAAAGACGTCCATTGAACATAAATCTTATCTCGACTTACATAAAATACTCATAAGAAGTTATATTATTAAGATCAAATTAAAATAAAGTAGAGAATTTGAGATGATCAATCTTTCAAATGAAATGGATTCCTGAAAAACAATTACACTCAATGAAATTGTTAGATTGGCCCAAAGATCGACTGAACCGGTCCCTCCTCGACCGGTACTTTTCTACAGGAGGTGGGCCAAAGGGGGGGAGCATGATAGGGGGCGGACACATGGCTGGGGCCCACATATTGATTGTGGCAATGGTTTACGAGAGAAAATTCAAAATTAAGGCCTGTTTAGGGATTAAGTAAATGTATTTTGCTTTTAAGTAATTTCTTTCTTACTAGGGTTAGGGTTATCTTGAATTTGAATCTGAAATTTAAGATCTTGGTGTAGTTTTGGGCTCTAGACTACGGCTAGAGATTGGAGAGCTGAATCTTCCTCTCGAATTGAAGATTCCTTATATCGAGTCATTTCTTTTCATCCCTTATTGAATTTGAAGTGCTATTTTTGCAATTTCTCTACAGATTTTTGTAAAATCTGCATGTTGTTTTGCTTAATTTCTCTGAAATTTAGCAAGTTTTTTCTGTTTTGATTACTATTTCCTATCAAATTGATATCAAAGCATGTAGATCTAAGGAGTACTGGCCAGAAGGAAAGTGAAAGTTTTGGAGGGAGAATTAGGTCAACTAAAATATAATTTTGAAGAAAAAATTTCTTATTTTCAAAATCAATTCGCATCCGTCCATGAAAGATGAATGGAAGGTTTGCAGTAGTGGAATACACGTTAAGGAAGTTGCTTGAAGTTAAACACAACCCGGTGACATCTGAAGCTAAGGAAACCAACGACGGCCATGAAAAAGGTGGAAACCCTAACATGTTTAGGGGAAGGTAAAATCCAAAAGTGTAGATTCTGGAGGGAGGAGACGGGATGCCTCCACTAGAGCTGCTTTCTAGGGAGGAGATAAGTATCGGGTATGAACGAAGGGGTGTAATTTAGCCATAAGGGGTGAGGATTACGATCGTCAGTGGTAATTCTGAAAAAAGGAGATCGCACTTTAAAGAAGGATTTGGGTTTGAACGCTGAAGGGAAGATCATGACACATTGGGAGCACCTCCTTTGCGAGAAATGGGTGGCTTTGGAGGGTTCAGGGGAAACGGAAGTGACCCGAGAGTAAGGAAGTTGAAGATGCCTATCTTTGAGGGCGAAGATGCACATGGGCGGATCTACAAGGTAAAGAGATACTTTGCCGTCAATGGGTTGACAGAGGAGAAATTGATAGCGGCTGAACTCTGTTTGGAGGGGAAAGCATTGGCTTGGTATCAATAGAGGGAGATGAGGCGACCCATTCGGAGTTGGAGGGAGTTCAAGGACTATTTACTAGAACGTCTCCAAACTAATAAGGGAGGAGACTTCTATGAGCAATTCTTTGCCCTAACATAGGAGGGGACCAAGGAAGAGTGCCATAATAGGTTTGAGTACCTTACCAGTAGGCTGGACCGACTTTCTTAGACAGTGCTAGAGGAAAACAACATGAAGAGGCTTAAATCAGAGATCCAAGCAGTTGTTAGAGTGATAACGGCCACGTGACTTGGGGGAGGCCATAGAGCTAGCACAGTTGGTTAAGGACCATAAGTATCTGAAGAGGGGGGCTAGGAGTAGTAGTTATCAGGGGGAAGGGTTATACAGGATGACCACCATCGTCTTAGCTCCCAAGGGATCCGCACCGGGAAGTCTGCGAGAAGAATCAAAAGAGAAGACGAGAGGAGTGGGATTTGGGGGAAATTTCAAGAAGCTCACTGAGCAGTTGCAGGAGAAATGGGCAATGGGGTTGTGCTTCAGATGTGAGGAGAAGTACATGTTGACCTATAATGCGGAATACAAAAAAAAATCTTATACCTGCCCGAATTGCACGTCATCGCCATCTCGTGCACGTTTGAGGTCGCGTCACTTCTTCGCACGTCTCCGCTCACGGTTAAATGCCGAAGAGATGAAAGTCACTGGGTGGAGTGATTCCATTCGGTCCCCTCTCGCGAAATCCCCTGCCCTAGCCCAAGACCTCCTTCAACGACGTTCTCTCCCGTTGAGTCGGAAGCCACGACACTTTGATCGGGAGTTAGGGAGGGAGCTCTACTCGCTGTGAAAGCAACTTTCTTCCTTCAGCGTGCGTCTCCGCTCACGGTTAAATGCCGAAGAGATGAAAGTCGCTGGGTGGAGTGATTCCATTCGGTCCCCTCTCGCGAAATCCCCCTGCCCTAGCCCGAGACCTCCTCCAACGACGTTCTCTCCCGTTGAGTTGGAAGCCACGACACTTTGATCAGGAGTTAGGGAGGGAGCTCTACTCGCTGTGAAAGCAACTTTCTTCCTTCAGCGTGCTCCTTCGGCTCCTTAATGGTTATCGTTCAACTCCACACCTTCAACGACCTTCCCATCCCGTCGGTTCGAAAGTTCTGACATTTTAATCGGACAAAACGACGGGAGCTTGCTCGATATAGAGGAAATTTTCACCCTTACACACAATTCTTCGGCTCCTTCGTGTTTTCCGACTTTGCTCCCTTCAACGACTCCTTCCTATCCGATCGAAAGTCACGACATTTTGATCGGACGGAACAACGGGAGCTCAGTACTTCTTGGGCTCCTTGGTCGCCGATAGACTTCGCTCATTCAACAACTCTCCCTTCCTGTTTGGATTGGAAGTCACACATTTTGAGGGAGAACCACCTATACGTGCTCTTGTAGCACAGTAAGAGGGAGCTCAGTGCGACGCATACGGCGAGGTGGGTAAGCCCTATACACACTCTTGTAGCGTGGTGGGGAGACACTGGTGTTCTTGTACGGGTACTGTTGAAGGCCCCATACACGCTCTTATAGCGTGATGGAATGAAAAGATGTACGGTCGCAGTGTCTAAGGACACCTAGCATACACGCTCGAGTAGCGTGGTGGGAAGGCCCGGCTCCCCTACTTTCCCCAAAACGGGGGATATGCCGGGGTGCTGCCGAAATTTTCACTGAAGTGCACAAAGCCTGAACAATAAGATCTCATTTGGGAAACAATGCAGAAGACCCATACTTGGACATGAACCAAATTACAAGAAATGGAATCCCAAATCCTAAAATGCACAATCAAGATCAAAATTCAAATGTCAAATAACAATTCAATGCATTCGAACAAATATAAGAAAACAAGCAGGGGACTCGTGACGAACAGGACCTCGATGCATACAAACAATGAACAATAGTCAATTCACAGTATCTGAACAATCACAAAAAAATCTCAATTATCAAAACCTATGAATATATGAGATAACGTACATAATGGATGATACTGATGAATGCAACAGACTCCTATGACAATCCCTACAATTGCCTGTAGATTGAGATGGCAATGCTGGCACTTGATAGTGGAGGATCCGTCCCTAAAAACAAATGCAATCATTAATACCACATGAGATTGGTGAAAGGTGAATGTGATGTAGGGACAACGGCTCTTCTATGAATATCTTCTAGGAGATCGTAGTGGATACAATGGGTTCCCTGCAAATGAATACGAGCCGCTTGTGGATAACAACAGTGGATATATCATAGGTACAACGAATCACTGTGGGCACAAGTATAGATGTCACCCACAATAATGGTGATTGAGATGTTGCAAATTATGTCGGGTATTAAGGCAACTTGATGTATGAAAAAGGACACATCCTGGCAGGACGGAAGGGATGGTTGAACAAATTAGAACTAAACTTCCTGGTATTCCAAAGTTTCTTCTTGGTTCTAACCTTAGGAAGGAAATGACTCTAGTATCCAGAAACACCAGAAGTAATAAGT